GGTGGTAATTAGGCTCCTCTCAAGACTATAAAAGGACTGCTTGTGTACACGCCCCTTTTGCAGAAGTCAACGCATGAACTAATGTTGGAGAACAGTATTGTGAGCCTGGCAGGCTGGATTGCTGCCACGGCTTATCTGTGCCGGATTGCTGCCAAGGACCTGTCTGTCTGTTAATAAATTCCGTAAAGTATCTCTGACTCGGAGTGTGTTGGTGTGGGACGAGGGGGGTCAGAACAGTGTTTTATTAGAGCGCCAGTGTCAGGCCTGCAACTGGTTCCTTTTAGGATCTTTGGCCTGCCACACTCTGTATTATTTTACTATGCTTTTTCATTAGTGAGGAATTGGGAGGGGGAATAATAAGGAGTAGAATGTGTTGTTGTCAAAATAAAAAATTTCTTTCTAAAAGCCCAAGGTCACCTTTTGTCTCTGCACCTCTGAGCTTGACCGGAAATGGGTGGAAGCTGCCAGCTTGGCAGTGGAAGATCGGACCATGTGATAGACTTGTGAGTGTGGGAGCAAAATCATGAACTTTCAACTGGGTGGAAAACCCAGGAAGCTTTCAGATTCGGGTTTTCCACAGATGTGCCAACATGTCTCTCTTAATAAATCAGAACTTAGAGCAATACTTTGCCTTGGATTCTGATTTAATTCTGGATGATATTTGGAACCCTGACAGCCAGTTTGGTATGGGAGACGGTGAGTTCTAGTCCTGCTTTGGGCCAGGAGCCAACTGGGTGATATTGGGCCAGTCTAGCTCTCTCTCAGCCTTAGGGGGTGGAAAGGAAGTGGCAAACCACTTTCGAAAATGTTGTTGAGGAAACTTGGATGGATTTATTTTGACCTTGGATATAACATGACATACAAATATCACAACTATGTTTTCTTAGTTCAAGTTTAGGATTTTGGCGTATTGTGTGAATGTAGCTTGACACTACCACTTGTAGCATGAGTGAGGAATCAAAGGTTGTGCTGGTTCTTTAAAATCATCCTGAAGGCCACATTTGTAGGAAATAGTGAGTCTTCGGCAGAAGAGGACCGAACTGGAATGTCCACAGTGAGGGGGTCAAAATAGCCAAGGGGCCAATCACAAGGTGTGCAATGAAATCCACACCCCTTTTGTTAAAAGTGTCATGAATTGATTTGATGGTGCAGTCGTGGTTGCCCTGTTGACTTTCTTAACTAGCCCCTCACGGATGACCCTGAGACAAAGTTCTTGAGATGTTTCTCCTTACCAGAGTTCTCCTGGCCACGTCATTCACTCACTCACTCAAAACCCTTTTGGTTTTTCACTCATTTGCATTTTATGGGATTGCAAATCCCACCCGTAACAACGGTGAGTTTGCAAACTTTCCCAAATTGGTCCGGTTTCATCAGCCCATACAGATAAGGCAGGTTAGATGCTACGACCGGATTTCAGGGCCCCATCCCAAAACCAGCAGGAAGAGATTATCCATCTGGTTCTATATAGACCTAGGGACAAGATCTTCATTTATCTGAAGGACATTACAAGGAATGCCGAAGTAGCGCAGGGCAACCTCAGGAGTCTTCACTTCGCCCACAATGTTCTTGGCCAGGCACTGATAGATTCCCTTGTCGGATTCTTTAGTGTCTTGGATCATCAATGTGCCATCTTGTAGCAGGTTCAGCCGCCCATCATCCCTCATGTCAATCTCGTTGCTGCAGTGCAAAAAAAAAGAAGAAGATGGCAGCCAGCTTCATTCCGTCTTTGATTTAGGGAAGGATTGGACTACAACTGGTGTTACTCCCAGATAACAATCGAAACTATCTGAATCTGAGATGGGGGGAAAGGGCTGCTGTCAACTTATCCAAGGGAGACATGAGCCAAGACAATTTAAGTGACATTAAGATTGTCAAACTAGTGCACAAATGTGGGAATATGTAGCCCTTGACTTACGACCAAAATTGGCATGATAATTTCCATTGCTAAGCAAGGCAAGGTCATGAGTTTTGCGACTTCTTTGTCACAGTCTTTAAGTGAATCACTGCAATTGCCGAGTGGATCATAAGGTCGTTAAGTGAATCCGGCTTCCCCAATTGACTTCACTTGTTGGAAGCCAGCTGGGAAGGTCACATCACCTGACCTTAGATCGTGTAAAGGTGGGCGAGAAAGACCTTGAGGGACTGAGCAAAAAAATGCTGCCAAGGGAATGATCAGATATGAGACAGCATAGCTTGCAGCTGAATAATGGGCCAGGTTTGATTCTGGGAAGAGACTTTCCCTAGTTTCTCAGGCTGTAAAGGAGACGAAGAAGTAGAATTCTAGTTTCATACCGGCAAGATTCTGTCTGTGTAGCTTTACATTTAAGTAGAATGAACTCATCTGGTTATGATTTCTATCTGCTTTATCCTGCGAAGAAGACACCAATCTTGTAACACTGAAAGTACAATCCTCCCACCACTCTTCAGCTCAAGAACCTAGGGAGGGTCAGTAGAGCCTCTTGCCCCTTTCCCTACCCAACTGTGGGCTATGTTATCTCTTATCTGACCATTCCCTTGGGACTGTCTCTTGGCTCCATCTTCCAAGGTCTTTCGGACACAGACTGGGACGCTGCTTCCGCCATCATGCCCATCTTACTTACTTGTTGTGAAGCCAGATAATCTTAGGTTTCGGATTCCCCTCTGCACGGCAGATGAAATAGACGGTGTTGCCCAGAGTAACATCGACGTCTTGCGGTTCAGTTGTGATGCGAGGGCTCTCTGAAACACACAGACAAACGGAGGGCAACCCTTCAAAAGGCTGAAGGAGGTCATACATGACTTTGGTGTTTTCAATGAATGTTTCCTAACGGTCCCTCTTCAGCCAACATCCAGATTAAGGCCCTTAGGGTGTAAATTAAGATGAGCTTAAATTGAGCTCTGATCTGATTTAATTCACCCGCTACATTAGTTTTCTATCGTCAGCCTCTGCTCAGGAAGAATAGCAGAGTTGGAAGGGACCTTGGAGGTCTTCTAGTCCAACCCCCTGATCAGGTAGGAGACCCTCTACCATTTCAGACAAATGCCTGTCTAATTTCTTCTTATAAATCTCCAGTGATGGAGCACCCACAACTTCTGAGGGCAAGTCATTCCANTGAAGGACCATGAATTGGCCCGATTTAAAAAGGTTGAGCACCCCTGGTTTAGTCAGTATTCATAACTTCTTTCAAAGCAAAAGGAACATTTTTTAAGTTGTGATCTCAGATTCTTTGTGTGTATGTGTGTGTGTGGGGGGGGGGCCTTCCTACAGTTTTTCCACAAGTGCTGGGTCTGCTTTTGGGGAGAGAGGGTCAGCCAAATGCTGATAGCAATAGCAATAGCAGTTAGACTTATATACCGCTTCATAGGGCTTTCAGCCCTCTCTAAGCGGTTTACAGAGTCAGCATATCGCCCCCACAATCTGGGTCCTCATTTCACCCACCTCGGAAGGATGGAAGGCTGAGTCAACACTGAGCCGGTTGAACAGCCGAACTGCTGAACTAGCAGTCAGCTGAAGTGGCCTGCAGTACTGCACTCTACCCACTGCGCCACCTCGGCTCAATGATAGTCATATGAATTGACTGACCAGCTTGTTGCCCGAGCAAACCAAGAACACAAATGAAAAATATATGTGAATGAAGTTGAACTTGCAGTTACTCCCTTAAAGATTTCTTTAGAATTGATAATGGAATACCTAGGGCAATAGATATTAGGATATTGGATTAAAATAAAAGATATAAATGATCACATAGAACTTAAAGATGAAAAGCAGTATCTGCAGCAAATAAGGGAGGTTAACATAACTGTTAAAAAGTTTGGATACATGAGCATTTATTTAACAAAAAATATTTATTTGAAATAATTATTCATAACCTTCAAAACTATAAAACAATAGAGAAAGCAAAACAGATCCCAGTGCTGCAATTTAGGCATCCTGTTTTGTGGAATTCGAAGATGATGAAATATATAAATATATAAACTTGCACAAACAAATTATAGCGAGCACAAGTTTTATTTCAGTGTGACTTTTTCTCACTACAATTCTTCTCTTGACCAAAAGTTCTGAGATATTTTTTTTTTACAATCAACAACGCCTGCAACCTGACCAAATTTTAAAATTGTTATATTATGTAATGAAACAAACGTTAAAGGTTGCATTCTCTTCCTAATCAGCTGTTATTGTGTTAGACATCTCCAAACTTTAAATTCTTACAAAGTACTAGTTGGCTTTATATGTACTAACAGCTGCCAGGGTATTTTATGCGTTTATTGAAATCACATATAATTCCTTCCATAGAAGAATGGCAAATTAATTTGTGGGGGGATTTAGTTCAATTTAGAAGCCATTCCTGGATTAGAAATCTAAATAGGGACTTGTATCTCATCCAAAGTTCGGATTTTTTAAAAAAAAATTAAGACTTTAATATCAAGTGCTTGTACGTATGATTGGCTAAATAAGTGCAACAGTATACGGAAAAGACCTTGGCAGATGAGGCAGAGAGATGCTGCCTAAGGAATAGTCAGATAAGACAGTGCCCTTCAACCTTTCTGACTCTGAGGCTGCAGTGGCGGCAGCGGTAAGGGGGAGGAGAGAGAATGGTTTCATGTGCGCTTCCGCTACATATGCAAATGCAGCTTCGTGCGCCTTCCCTGCTGCTTGCGCAGCCCAGTTCCCAACATGCTTCTGAGTAGTACTGGGCCATGGACTGAGGGGTGGGGACCCCTAAAATAAGATACATAGCCTGCAACTGATAGTAGGCATAACAAGAGGCTCAAAAACAACCCTCCGTAAGTTCTCAGGGTGTAAAGGTCACGGCGGGAAAATTTTACTTTCAGGCTTAGCTTATAAGAGTTTGCTAATTCAGCTTTATAATATGTTAGTATTAGTTTATCTTTATGATCTACCTGGCAAGGGTGACATTGATATATATACAAGAACGCAATCAGAAAAGAGGAACCAACTTCTTCCCTGGTCCAACACCTTAAAGCCACAGGACATAAAATTGACTTTAAAAAGACCAGAACTGACTGAACATTTTAACAACAGAATAATCAGAGAAGCCATCGAGATAGAAAAACGCCCCCACGGCATGAGCAAACGAGACGATACCTCCCGCCTACCAGCCATTTGGAAGCCTGTCCTTATTGACCAACGAGGCCCTAACCTGAGGAATGACACCAGACCCACACTCACAAG